CTTGGCAGTCTGTGAGTATTTCCCTTGCTTCGTATGTCGGCAACGCATGACTAACAACATAATTCGAAAAGTGATCTTCTATGTTATCGGTCGGTATTTATAACTTGGTTGCTGGAGGTGGTATGCTGAATTCTCCGCGCAGGTTACATTGTAATTGCGTCAGCGAAAAACATCGGCAGCGTCGGTGGCGGAATTGTAATTTACGCATGGTAAGTCCATACCAGTACACCATAATGGAAGTCGCGTTAACAGATCCCCTTCTCTAGCGGTTACACGTACGTTCATTTCTCCCTTGACTTGATCAAATCAAGCTCACTCCTCGTTCAGAGGACTACAGTTATTAACTCAAGTCATCATTGCCGATATCACAACGCTCAAGTGGCGAGCATTGGTTTCAGCACTCTGCACCGCGCCATTCATCATCAACGGCTTCATCGGTGCAAATGTCTCAACCGCAGTACTTGAGCACGTAGGCTGGAGATGGGGTTGTGAGCACACCCACCTCCTTGGAAATCCGTCTCTAGGAACTCACACAAATTTCCACAGACGGCATGTTTGCCATTCTCGTCCCCGCAGCTCTGTCTCCCCTCATCGTCACCTTGTTCTGGGCCGAGAAGAGGGCGAAAAAGCTCGGACTTGTTCAAAAGGCGCCGCAAACTGGTCCAAAGAAGACATTCTTGCAGACTGCATGGGGATATGTCGAACAGATGGACTTGGTCGGGTTGCTCCTCATGGGCGCGGCGGTCTCTCTCATCTTGCTCCCTTTGACTTTGAGTCAGACAGCGAAGGACCGCTGGCATAACCGTACGTCTTACTCCCACGATTGCTTATGGTAGGGTTTTTTTTGGCTCCTGGCTAACACGAGACGCGATAGCTTCCATCATTGCGATGCTTGTCGTTGGATGTGTCATGCTCTTCGTCTTCGTAGGCTGGGACGCCAAGTTCGCAAAGATCCCAGTCGTCGCTCCACGCTTCTTGAAAAACCGCGCGGTCATCGCTGCCGCATGGATTGGGTTTTTGGATTTCGTGAGTCGTGCCCTGTCGACAGTCTCATCGGAACTTACAATGTCCGCAGATCTCCTTCTACCTCACCAACACGTACCTCTTTTCCTTCATTCTCGTGGTCAAGCCCTGGTACGCTTTCCTCGAAACTCAAACTCAATTCTGGATTGCTCACGTCTCATATGTTCCAGGCCACTCATCAACGCCACGTACTTTTCCTCGTGCATTTCCGTCTCTCTCACCGTCTTCGGCATCTGCGCCGGAATCTACATGCGGTTCGCCCAACGCTTCAAATGGCTCCTCGTCGCCGGCCTCGTCGTCCGTCTCGCGTAAGGCTCCCCCTCTTCCCTATTCCGCACCCCCGTTTTCTCATCTCGCTGTGTGTTTTTCCTTTTGCAAGTGGCGTCGGTATGATGATCCATTCTCGCGGAGCCGACGCGTCCGACGCCGAGATCGTCTGGACGCAAATCATCCAGGGCATCGGAGGCGGCATCGCCTCTGCGGCAGCGCAAGTCGGCGCGCAGGCGTCGGTGCCACACGCGGACGTGGCCATCATCACCGCTGTCGTCTTACTCTGGACTGAGATCGGCGGTGGCGTCGGGAGTGCCTTGGGTACGCCTTTCTGTTCCATTTGTTCACTTGGCGATGCTGACCATTCGTCGTTTTCCCAGCTGGAGCGATATGGACGAACACGATGCCGAAGAATTTGGAGAAGTTCCTTCCGTTGGTTCCTGCTGACCAACGCGCGACGCTCTTTGGCAGCATCACCTCTGTCACTACTTTCCCCCGTGGCGACCCCGTCCGTGAGGGTGTCATCGAAGGTATGTAGCGTAGCAACGCTTCGTCATCCTTCCTATCTGTCTTTCAACATCCTGATCTTGTATTGTAACAGCATACAGCGAGACAATGAAGATCATGGTCATCGCAGCAACAGCGATTTCCGTCCTTCCCATTATTTGCGCGCTGTTCATGCCGGATTACTCCTCGGCGACACTCAGAACGCTGTGGAGAATGTTGATCTCACTGGAAAGCCCGTACATTCGCTTGGGTCGGAGTCAAGTAAAAATGAAATCGAGGACAGGAAGGAGTAGATTATGGTTTTTTGTATGAAGGTCTCTAATACAGGTCTCTGCCGAAAGCAAGAGTCCTTTACAGTTATGGAGTCGAGTGCAGACAGATCATCGCACACATTCTTTCTTCTTGCCAGTGAAGAAATCCTCCCAGCTACCCCAATACTCAGCTGCTTCCAAGTGTCGACCCGCAATCTGGACGAACGCATCATACACCTCGTCCTCAAAAAACGCCTTATTCTGCGCGCACTCCACCCAATTGTGGAAGAGTTTCGTGAAACTACGAAGCGCATCCTCCGTCTCCCACATACGCTGCTTGATGATTTCCACCGTACAGTGATCCGTGGACGATAGATACTTATAGTTCCACCTGGCAACGCTGGTGGGATCGTCGCTTTCTCTTTCTCGTGCCTTCATCGTGTATTCCCAGACTAGAATCCATGCGAAGGACTCAAGGTCGTCGTGAACGGTGGGGATGCAGGGCTCGATGTCCTTCCAAGCCCTCGCCAGTTCTCGGATGATTCGCATGGACGTGAAGGGAAGGGGTCTGTGAGACACCTGATGGGTGGTAGGGGTTGGTCAGAGGTTGAATGTGTTGCAAGGATTTGATTTCACCGCAATTCCGTTTGGATTTCCTGGGCTTGAACAGTGTATTGGCGGATCCGGGTCGACGAGCATAACGCAACTACAGACAGGTTTGTCGGTCGAGCTGAAGCAATAATTCTTCAGGAGGATGAACGGGTAAAGAATGGACAATAAGCCCACCCTAGCGGGCTATGATCACATTCTTGGGATTTAGTGACATCGACCATGATATGCCTGGGAGTGATATTCCCATGAAGCTGATCCCTCTGACGCATATATCTGTGTGCTGTACATGTGTTTTTTTCAGCACGTCATCTTCAAACAGGTAGGAAGACATACCGATAACACCCTGAGTTAGAATGGCCACCAGTTCCCTCGGAGAGGCTGCTGAGAAATCACGAATGGTATTCTTGTTGGGCATTGGCTGAGTTGGATCTAGGTGACACTTCGACGAGTCTTCTCTGACGCAAGTGCAATTGTCAGCCCTTATAATAGCAGCGTCGCCGCACAAAGGGGGACGCTCAAGTATTCCAGGCTGCCTGTACGTGCAACTCGCCACACCGCCGCTCTTTGGATCATCAGTGTTATGAGAGGGGGCGGGTGACATTGAATGACAGATGGTGGTCAACGAAAGAAACCGTTTAGGGGCTTTCCGTATGACAGAGAGGGGCTCTGTCGAGTCGACCTCCCTCCGTCACATTGCGGCACGAACTATAGCAGAACAATATCCTGACATTGTCACTGCGATTGTTCGAAGTGGCTGACGGAGAGGGTTGACCGATGGACTTGGCACGCGTTTGTTTGGCGATGTTTGTCGTAGCAACCGACGTTCCTGGGTGCCATAACCGGCAGTTATTCGCACGGGCCCAGACTGTGGTGGTGGATTTGAGGGTGATGGGTTTTGTTCTCAACGTCCATCTCGTCCTCAACGTCCCTCGTCGTCGCCGTCCCCAATAACCCGCACATTCTTTCGACGTCACCCTCATTCCTTAAACAATGAAGTCCATCGCAGTCTTCTCCCTTCTCGCCGCCGTCGCCGTCAACGCTGCCCCGTCGGTGAGCAAAAACGTTTACCAGCAAGCAGACCCGCCCCACTGACGGCTTGTCTTTTTTCAGCTCATCCCAACCGGAATCAGCGACAGTTGCACAAAGTTCCTCACCGCATTCAATGACGATGCGAGCCTTCAGTCGTGCACCAGCCCCCTCATCAGCGCGACTTCAGACTTCTTCAGCAAGAACGCGACTGTCCAGTCATCCTCATCCGCCAAGTCAGCTCTCGCTGCTATCTGCAGCACCACCAGCACCTGCTCAGAGCCCACCGTCCGTGCCAAGCTCGCCGACTTCTACAAGGCTTGCACGGCCGAGTTGACCTCTGCGCCAAACGCAGATGTCCTCGCGCTCTACGATACCCTCTATACCTTGGTCCCTCTCAAGCAGGCCGTTTGCTCCAAAGATGACACCGGTGCTCTCTGTGTTGGCAAGGTCGCGGCCAAGGTCTCCCCCTCCTCCCTCTACACCAACCTCGGCGAGGGCACCCAGCTGATCCTGAAGCCGAACGTCGATGCCTTCCGCTCCAACAACATTGCCTTCCTTCTCCTCCAAGCATCCACTCCCAAGGACCAGCTCTGCACGTCCTGCGCACGCAGCGTCCTCACCGCATTCGTGACCTGGGAGTCCAACTCTCCTTACGCACCCGGTCTCGGCCAGAGCAAGATCCTCGGCGGCCAGACTGAGCTGTACACCGCGGTCACCAACACTTGTGGCCCCAACTTCATGTCCGGCGCTGTCCAGGCTGCTGGTGGTCTCTCCGGAGGCATCCTCAGCGACAGCTCATCAGCTCAGACCATCGCCGGCTCTGTGACCGCGGTCATGGGTGCTTTGGCTGCTGCCATCGTCATGCTCTAAACGTCCTCTGGGGTTTAAAGACTTTGGAGAGGTTTGGGGTGGTGCTGGTTGTGATGATGCTGTCTTTTGTTGTGCTTGACGTTCGGGGGGTGTGCAGTTCTTCTATCTTGGCTTACCATCTATCGACCTTGTCCCCACGCGCCGTCATTCATTGTGCTTTCCCGGGCTGTTTACTTTATACCCTTGGCATTTAAAACGTCTTGTGAGATACCATTCCTGTGTTGCACGACGAAGAGGAAGCCAAAATATACTTGACCCTACATTATTACCTTGTCGCGTGCCCGAGAGTTGTCGAAAAGTGCTGACAGAGAGATCAAGTTGCGTTGACGATCAGCCTATCATGTTACACGTCCAGCAATGGAAACACTCCACGGGCCAAGCACATTTACGGAGAGAAGTTTGAGTGCACCAACATAAATAAAGGTTGCAAAAAGATATCGACATCAGCAGGATTCGAACCTGCGCCCTCAAAGAGGAACAGATCGTTAGTCACATGATGTTAGGTCATGTGACAACGTAGATTCTAATCTGTCGCTGTAACCACTTAGCTATGATGCCATGATATTACAGTAGAAATAGTTTCCCATGTACGATGTACATTCCAAGATGGAGAAAGAAATGGATTGCTCGAACGAAAACTGATGGAGAGGACATATTATTTGAGGCAAGGGTGGAAGATTGGAATGTAGCGCCCATGGGACTCCTTAATTGAGGCCGAAAATGCGGAGTTTGAAAATCACGGTGGTGTGGCGTAAGCTGCCAGCTGGGTTTGATCACCACCAGTACTCGCAAAGTCCTCGTATTCACAACGCCTTCAACACTATGGCTGTGTTAAGTTCTTGCGGTCGATTAACGTCTGCTTTCGCGGCCTCGTCGTCAAACTCTGCCACTGGCGCCTCCGGATTCTGGAGCTGGGTGAAGGCCTCAGTCCGAAGCGTATTCTGGTAATGCGATTCAGAGGTGTGCCTTTCCCGCAGAATACCTAACAGACCTCGACCAAAGTCACTTGCTATTCCAGTTGGTCGGATAGGTGTCTCAGGTTGATACCTCATGGGATGTACCACGCTCCAAACACATCATCCTTGGCGCTTTGTCCGTCCACGTAATCTGCAACTACCAGAATGTCAGTCATGGATTTTTGACTCTCCCTGGAAGTTCGCACCGAAGGATCGACGAAGAGTTCTTTGATTGGTCCTACGGCCTTTGCTATATACCCTCTCTGTCAGATCCCAAATAAACGTTCGAACCTATCGACCTAATCGCCTATGGATTGGCGAACCACCTGGCATTCGTCGGGGTCGGAACCACCCGCCTACGACATCGTTTGGCTCAAACCGAACCCGACCACTGCTATGTAATACAAGAATGAACCGTTCCGGAGTATGCTACCATCCCAAGTTCTCTTTTGTCTCAATCTGACCCTAATCCCAATCTAACTCAATGTCATAGCACACTCCGAGTCCTTGATTATCACGTCACCCGACCACCTGCACCGACCTTCCAGTCTTCCGCTAACCTCATTGACGACATCGTATCAGCGGGTCGATAGGGGATAGATCGGTTATGAATACTGGTTATGAGGTTTGTGCACAGGTATTATTGTATTTCGCTGCTGAAAACCCGCCGTTCCTTACCCCTTGAGTTCAGTGCAACCTGAGACTAATTGAAACGTTCAGTGCATGGATGTGGTATAAAATAAGTGGACTCTGTTCTCTGTTCCTCATTGTACGAGACAACGATGGAGCCTCTCCCCACGGAAACGCGTGAATGGCGCGTTCCAAAGGTACGGAAGTTCTATTCTGTCCTGCTTAGCCTTGGGTTACCGAATTTCATGGTTGTTACAGTGTACAGGTATCGACGCGTTGACAATGGCAGAAGTGCCAATACCGATACCTGGCCCTAATGAAGTCCTTGTCAAGGTGCATGCGGTGTCGTTAAACGTACGTCCCCTTCCCGCCTCCTCACGCACATCTCCACGCTTATGACGCTAAACAGTACCGTGACATCATGATCGTGTCTGCCCAATACCCTGGAGGGGCAAAAGACAATGTTATACCCGGTTCTGATGCAGCCTGCGAAGTCGTCGCTGTCCCGCCGGACGAGGAGAAGTGGAAAATAGGCGAAAGAGTGATGGCGAACTTTTGTTTGACGTTCTTGGAAGGCGAGATCAACCCGGAGGTCATCAAGGGATGTTTAGGATCAGAGAGGGATGGTGTGTTAACGGAGTACAGGGTTTTCCCGTCTGAGGTACGTCTGACAGAACCAGTTCGAGACGAGGTTCGTTGATCAGATTGGAACGGGTTTTGCAGGTCCTCGTGCGGATCCCAGATCATCTCACATACGAGCAAGCATCTGCTCTTCCGTGCGTTGGTGTTACAGCATGGAACGCGTTGCAAGGTCCGGTTCCAGTCAAGAAGGGGGACACAGTTCTCATCCAAGGGACCGGTGGTATATCTATGTAATAGCATGCCCTTTCTTTTCCATCCGCGCATCGTACATTGACGTCTAGTGGCTTCTTGTAGACTTTCAATGCAGATTGCCCACGCATTGAGTGCGACCACGATCATCACATCTTCATCCAACACAAAACTTGCACGTGCAAAGGCATTGGGGGTGGACTACACGATCAACTACAAGGAGACACCGGATTGGGAACTTGAAGTACTAAAAATAGTGAGTGCATCCTCGAAAAAGCAATGACAAAGAAACTGATGTATCGGATGGATATTGTAGACAGAACATAAAGGTGTAGACCATGTTATTGAAGTCGGCGGCGTATCAACAATTCTCAAGTCTATCGCGTCGACACGCATGGGCGGATCTATCCATAGCATCGGCTTTGTCGCGGGATTCGTACGCACATGTCCATCTCGCGCGAAGAACACATCTCTCATTTTACTATGCGCGGTATATTCGTGGTGCAGGACGATGGCGGTGTGAAGCCTCTTCAAATCACTCAAAACGTGCTCGGCAAGGCCCTTAACCTTCGTGGTGTTCTCATAGGAAGCCTCGCTCAGTATGTCTTATCCATCCCCATGGAATTCGTTGTTCGTTCAATGCTCAAATTTCATTTGCGGTTTCATCATTGGAGGTTTGAAACTTTGATCCAATTCATCGCCGAAAAGAAGATCGTTCCCGCCATTGACGATACGATATTCAAGTTCACAGAGGTGAAAGAGGCCTATGCGTATGTTGCGAGTCAGAGGCATTTTGGCAAGGTGGTCGTTCGGTGTAGTTGACGGTATGTACTTACTAGGGGTGTGTCAGCCCGAGGGAATAAAATATGCGAGAAGTAATGCATAGTCGAATATAACTCTTCGTACGTTGCATAGTTGCCATTGACAGATTATCTCATAGCCTTTTTACCCAGGTTCTGCAAGCATGCATGCCTCACGGCGTTGCACTAAGCAGGATTTCCGGGGTGGTTTATGGAGTTGGAGCCAAACAACGAACAAACACTCGAGGAGCGTCTCCACGTGGCATCCCACTCTTTCCCAACCTTCACAAAACCTTCATGTTCAGAATGCGACACATTGATACTACTGACGCAAGCACTTGGTTAGTCATCTCAATACGCGTTCAAGCTAAGCATACGGATGCCCGATGCTTCCCGTTGTGAGTATTCATAGGGTCCGAGATGTGCCATGATGTCGCTGACCCGAATACAATACGAACGCGACATAGGTACTCCTCATCTATCTTTTCGTAAGCATCGCCCCACTCGACAAGAAAAGAAGCAGAGGGAGTAATATAGGACTTCTTGCTGGTATGTCACCTGAAGTCTTCCCGCTCAACTCCCGAAGGTCATGTGGTCATGTTTTACCTTCAGAACGACCACCTGCTACTCTTCGAGGGCGCATCTTGTACGGCCATACGTGGATCACCTGAAGAGGCGTGAACGTTCTCGCTCCAGTTATAACTCTCGAGAAACTGTTGATGGGAGTGGAACATCGAGTTTAGGACAGTGATCTTTCTTGAAGGGTGGACCGCGCCACGCAATACTTCTTTCTCTACTCTCATCATGTGGTATAAAAAAGGGGGAAGACCTGGAGAGTGGAGTTAGCCATTGCCACCATGCTCACCTTCAAATGCTCCTCGCTGGTCTCGTTGGTCTTTGCCACCATCTCTCTAGCGGCAGGGCCGTTACCGAATCAGATCAAAAACCTGGTAACATTCGGAGATTCCTATACCGACGTTGTACGTTCTTCCGTTTTAAAGCGATATTCGTTGCACTTACATGATCCTGTGACAGGTCAATACAGGCGATGGTGGTACGGCATGGCCAGTCTACGCAGCCCGTGACGGGAAGTTCAACCTCTTCCCTTTCGCCCGTTCCGGGGCGACGTGCTCGAACAACATCACCAACCGCCCATTCCCCTCCGTCTTCGAATCCCAGCTTCCTCTGTTCTTCTCCGAAAAAGCCAACGGCACCTTGCGCTCTTTGAAGGCGTCAGACACGATCTTCACATTATGGATCGGCACGAACGATGTTGGTGCGAACGCCTTGCTCACAGGCAATGGCATCAACGGCGCCACCATAGTAGACACCGTCAGCTGTGCTATCAACTGGATCAAGACTTTGTACAGGAGTGGTGCGAGAAACTTCCTCTTCCAGAATGTAAGTGCTTCTCCCAGTCTCCCAGCTTTCATCTCCGCGGTCTGACGTTCTGTGGCCACACCCTTGCTGTACAGATGATCCCCCTACAGAAGGTTATTCTATACTCTGCAACCTCCTACCCAAACCGCTTCTGGACTGGACCGCGGAACACGACCGAATGGAGTGTTGGTATGACGGAGTTGACGCAGAGCGGGAATGAGATCGCGAAGCTCATGCTTCAAGCCTTGCCTCGTTCTCTCCCTGGCGCACACATCGGTGAGTTCTTTACTGCCAATTTGCTCATGCAGCTCCGGTGGCGTTTGTGCGGTCGCTGACCAGTCATGTTTCTGCGTGTCTGATAGGTCTTTTTGATTCGCATGCACTCTTTACGGAGATGCTTGCCCATCCTCAACTTTTCCTCAACGGAACCGCACCGTTGAACATCACCGGTGCTGTACGCTCCTGTGTATTCCCTGAGGGTGCGGATACTTCCAACAACAGTCTCGCCTCCTGTACCATTGCTACTGGTACGGACGTGGATAGCTTCCTTTGGTGCGTTCTCCTTCTTGGTGGCGTAGAACCCGAATGACTGACGTACTTGATGTGGTGTAGGTTTGACGAACTGCACCCATCTGAACAGGCGGATCGGGTGGTGGCGAGAGAAGTGGCTGCAGCTATTCATCGTCAGTCCAGCAAGTTCACGACTTGGTTCAGTTGAACGCTTGTCCGGCCGATTCGTCATCGTATACGTCGTTATCGAACAAAAGTAGTAAACCGACAGCCTGCTCAAGTACCTCACATGGATAATCCGTTGTCAATTTCACGAGGTCTCATTTACGCAATGCGCTCATAACCGTGACGAAGGTCGAAGAATGTGTCTGGACACTGCAAACCTTGAGTGCTTTTCCCGCTGAGAACCGTGTCTAGGCCAGAATGACGAACGGAAAACCAAGACGTTACG